ATGGTGATGATGTTAACGTTGACAAAAATTAAGTTGGCAATAATTATGGTGATGATAACAGTGATGATGATGATGATGATGTTACTTGATGGCAATGATGATGAAGGTGCTAATGATGGCGATTGTGTTGGTAACAGTGATGATGACGAAGTGATGGTGATTTTGTGTTGGTAACAGTGATGATGCTGATTGGGAGGATAATGATGATGGTGATAATGATGGTGATTGTGACGATAATGATGATGATAATGATGACAAAATTTATATTAATGATGACAACGATGTTATTAGTGGTGCCGGTGGCGATTCTTTTTATTGTTATCATTATTATTGTCATTATTATTGTCATCATTATCATTTTTCTATTATCACTATCATTATCATTATTATCATTATCATTATCATCATCCATATCGTCTTGATCATTTTTATTATTATTATGATTATTATTATCATTAACATTATTATTATTGTCATTATCAGAAATTATCATTATCTCGCTATCATTATCATTATCACTGGTATTACCATTTCCATGATTATTATTATTATGATGTTGATAATAATGATAATGACGATGATACTGATAGTAATGATAATGGCGATAATGATATCCTTGTCATGATGTGTTTGGTTGCCCTGTGGCTAAATAACCCCCTCCCTCGTGCCTTTGGTAGCCTTCCACCGTAAATACACACACACACACGCACGCACACACGCACACGCAAACAGACACACACGCACGCACGCACACGCACACACACTCACACACACACACTGGAGACACAAACACATATATGTATATATACAAACATATCCACATCTGCGTATGTGCGTGTCACATAGTAACAATATAACCTCTTACCACCAGCAGCATTGAAAACCCTCACCCTGTCACTATAATAACTATCACAACACGCTTTTTATGATGATAATATCGCACTATCTAGTCATCAGACCTTGTACCCATGCAAAAGTACAGCACGTGCAAGGGTAAAATTACAGCATGAATTTTGATACAGCATTTTAGCATTCCTGAACAGCCATGATGATGAGCACACACAGCTGGTTAGAACGAATGAGAGAATTTCAATTAGTTTTTTTTTTTCATGATGAGATGTTAATAAGGTCATATTTACTGTATTCACTCTCTGGTTTTACTTCCCCTTCTCTCTTTTTCTCTCTTTGAATATATGTCTGTCATATATTCCAATTATAAAGTCTCTTTTCTCTTCTGTTTTGGGATAATTATCTATCACTGAAATCTCCTCGAGAACTATGTATATTTCTATCACTGAAAATATGTCAGTCAGTCTCTTTGGCTTTCCGTTTGTCTGTTTGTCTGTCTGTGTATTTCTCTCGCTCTCTCTCTCTCTCTCTCTCTCTCTCTCTCTCTCTCTCTCTCTCTCCTCTCTCTCTCTCCTCTCTCTTATATATATATATATACTATATATATATATATATATATATATATTATATTATATATATATATAATATGTATATATATGTATATATAATATATAATATATATGTATATATATATATATATATATAATATATATATATATATATTATATATATATATATATATATATGTATGTGTGTGTGTGTGTGTGTGTGTGTGTGTTGTGTGTGTGTGTGTGTGTGTGTGTGTGTGTGTGTATGTGTGTGTGTGTGTGTGTGTGTGTGTGTGTGTGTGTCTGTCTGTCTGTCTGTCTGTCTGTCTCTCTCTCTCTCTCTCTCTCTCTCTCTCTCTCTCTCTCTCTCTCTCTCTCTCTCTCTCTCTCTCTCTCTCTCTCTCTCTCTCTCTCTCCCTCTCTCATGCTTATTTTTCTCTTATAACACTTCTTCCTTTTGTGCTTTTAGTGTCCATATTTTACTTCTTCCTTCTATCTCACTCACACCCTCACTTTTTCCCTTCCATGGGCTCAGTCACTTTCAATGATGCTCTCTCACACTCTCGCCCTCGGTCACTCTCATTTCAACTCGCTTCCTCACTCTCTCACTTCCTCCCTCACTCACTCATATTCACAACCTCATTATCTTCCTTCCTGGTCCTCAATCACTTACACTCACGCTGACACTCTCATTCTCCCCCTTCCTCCCCCTAATTCATTCTCACTCAAACTTACACCCTCATATTCTCCCTTCCTCTGCCTCAGCCACTCTCACACCCTCATATTCTCCCTTCCTCTGCCTCAGCCACTCTCACACCCTCATACTTTTCCTTCAATGTCCTTAGTGACCTTCTCATACTCTCACTCTCTCCCTTCCTCGGCTTCAGCTTTTTGAACTCACCCCACCACCCTCCACCACCTTCTCCCTAAGTCACAGCCGTATTCCCCATCTCCCTCAGTCTCTCTCTCACTCACACTTCTCCTCACTCCTTTCCTAGACCACACACACACACCCTCTCTCTTTCTTGTCCTCAGTCATTCTCCCTCACAAGCCCACCATCATCCTTCCTCCTTCCTCAGCCTCGTTTACTCTCACTCACACTCTCACCCTCTCACCCTCTCAACGCCATTCCCACCCGTCCCTCACTTTCTTCATGTCTGCTCTATCTCACTAGGAAATGACTGTCCTTCCACAATTTTTTTTTCTTTTTTTTTTTTTTTTTTGCCCCAGCTCCAATGCCTTACCTTTTTCCGCCTCTGTTACGGGGACTATCCACTTTCCCTTTCGCCTGCAACGCGCTCCTCACAATTGCACACTGCAAGGAGTTTTGGAAAGGGTTACTGTTGCAGGAAGTTTGGTTGTGGAAGTTTGGTTGTGGTTCCTACTTGCTGAAGGTGCTGATGTGAGAAGAAGTATTTAATATGCTTTGTTAATTTTCACGTTTAATGCTGAAAAAAGGAGAGATTGCAGAAAGTGAATGGCTACTCTGTATGTTCATATTCATGGAGATACAAAAACACACATACGCATAAAAACCTAAACACATATATACATACATACATACATACATACATACATTACATATATATATATAATATATATATATATATATATATATATATATATATATAGATAGATAGATAGATAGATAGATAAATTTCTCTCTCTCTCTCTCTCTCTCTCTCTCTCTCTCTCTCTCTCTCTCTCTCTCTCTCTCTCTCTATATATATATATATATATATATATATATATATTATATATACTATATATATATATATATATATATATATATATATATATATATATATATATATGTATATGAATAAATAAAGAGTATATACATATATGCACTGATATATACATACAAACCATATATATACGTATGTATATACAAAGCAAGAAGAAAGTCTGCAAAAATAAGCCACTACCCCCCCCCCCCCCCCCGCTACTGTCGCCCCTCAAGCGCCACAAGTTCACCCTTGCGGTTTATCCTTGACTCCTACGGTCGCAAAAGGGGTCGAATCCTTTCTCTAACGTGTTAAAGGATTCAGATGGCGATCCTCTTCCCATGCTCGTCTTCCTCCTCCCTATCCTTCCTTTCTCTTCTTTGCCTCTTGTTCCTCTCTTCTCGTCGTGCGAGGGTCACCTGATCAACCCTCCCACCTCCCCCCCCTCCCTCCGCACCACTTATCCCTCTCTCCTCTTTCG